AAGTTTGCTATTATTTAACTTGTGCAGCTGTCCAAAGGGCAGCTGGAATCAGACCTAGAATTTCAGAACCCAGAAAACAGAAGAGAGTAGATTACTTAGTTGAAGCAATGGAAGAGAAAGTTTTCATACATATATACTGCTGCGGGTGGGGTGGGAAGGAGTCATTTAGAATTACCCACATTTAAAGGGCAGCTAGAAGAAAAGGCAGTGAAGCAGACCAAAAAGTCAGAGGGGTAATATAAGTAACAGCTTCCATTTTTCAAAAGCAATTTGTCACACAAATCTGTGAAGTACTGTAGGAGATATTAAACTGCTTCTTGAGATTGGTATTATCATCATTTTAGAGAGAATAACAAAGAGGTTTTAAGATGTGAAATACCTTACCCCAAATCATTCAGCTAATAAGTGGAAAGACCAGAACTCAAATTCTGTTTCACTGACTCTAAAGTCCATCCTCGTAACCAGTATACTACCACATCATAATGGAAGCCAAGACAAGACAAGCTAGAAACAAGTAAATTTCCTCACCTCTTCCTTCTACTAACTAAATCACACTGCATGTGTCAGGGTTTCCCTACATCTGTCCTCAAGTCCACCAGCCCACTCCCAAAACACATTTGTTTTTAAGAAGCTGGGACTCATCTTATTCCAGTTTGCTCTCAGTAGTATCATTAATGAGATGGATCTGTGTAGCTCCACTAAAAAGGATAGTAAATTTTTAGCTAACAACATAATGAAGTTAAAAATTTATTGGTAAGTTTGAGTTCTGACATAAATTTTAAATAATGATTGAATAAAATAAATTTTTTTTTTAATTTTTTTTCTTTCAACGTTTATTTATTTTTGGGACAGAGAGAGACAGAGCATGAACGGGGGAGGGGCAGAGAGAGAGGGAGACACAGAATCGGAAACAGGCTCCAGGCTCCGAGCCATCAGCCCAGAGCCTGACGCGGGGCTCGAACTCACGGACCGCGAGATAGTGACCTGACTGAAGTCGGATGCTTAACCGACTGCGCCACCCAGGCGCCCCTGAATAAAATAAATTTTATTCACTCATTCAAACATTTATTTACTGTCTCTTATGTACCAAGCACTAGGGATAAAAAGTTATCTAAAAACAGATTCTAATGCTGTCTCACAACTAACATTAGAGTTGCTTTATTTTGTCTTTACTTGAGTAACCTTGCAAGCTACTTAAAATATTTAATTTATTCCATAATATCCTGTAATACTGTGTTCCTTAAGAAAAAAGTTAACACATAACACAAAATATTCCTCTAAGTTTGAAAACTTAATTTTCAAATTATTTCAATAATGGCTTGTTTCTCAATCTAGAATCCCTTATATTATTCTTGTGGCACTCTCCTCACTAACAAGGTCTTCACTCTTAGGGAATTAAGACTTAATTCAACATACACATATCATTTTGTCATTAATTTGGGAATCAAATCCAAAATTTTATACTAAAATGTAGGTAAGTAGGCAAATCCTATAATGACATTGTTGTGTCAGATATTTAAACTGTTTTAAAAAACAAACTAGCTTTTAGATGGAAATACAACACAAGAACAAAAGGGGTAAATAAAGTTTGAAATATTTGAGGAAATATTTCATAAGAAGTGTCTTCACATACATAAACATGATCATTTCCTTAAAATGCTCCTTAGAATTTCTTGGACAAAACAATTTCTACCTGTTAAAATATGGAATTTCTACTATTTTCTTTACCCAGGAAAATAACAAATTTCCCTCTATATACTCAGAAGAAACTTCTGGGAAACCAATTTTACATTCACTTGCAGTCACCCTTTCAAAATACTAGAAGATTATCATGTTATAAATTAGACAATCTCTCTGCTCAGAAATGCTTTCCTTAACCTAAAAATAAATTTAAAAATCTATTAACTCTATTAAAATAGCCTGGCAAATATTAGACACTTAGTAAGTGCTACTATAGTTACAAAACTCTTATTCATTTGAATTTTACTTAATCAGCCTACTTTGAAGCCTACGGGCACATTTAGTTCAACATCATGACTCAGGGAAACAAAACAAAACAAAACAAAACAAAACAAGACATCCTTTGGCCCAGACTTTCCTTAAATCCAGAACTGGAAGAGTACAAAAGTTTCTAACTGGTCACAAAAGGGCCCAAGCAAGACAGCAAAACTGACTCAACAGAACCCAACATCATCATTGCTGAGGCTATGTTAGAAACCAATCTGGCTGTATCTGTTAGCAGTGTCCTCCCTTTGTCAGAATACCAGATAACCAGGTTATCTATCAGCACACAGGTAGCCTTTTTGTAGGAATCTACTCTCAGAAACTTCAAAATAAAATTTGTGCTTAATTTTTCACCAAAACAATATTTTTGTCTGCCTTTTCTAAAACTGGGGACAAGTTAGTGCTTACCAGGAATTCTCCCTGATTTCTGAGATAAAGTAAGCATGCTCTGTGATACATATTTATATAGGGACCCAAAGACCAGGAATAAGAAGAAAAAAAAAACCAACCACGGTATCAATATATTTTTTTCAGTTTACTTAGCACCCAGAAATCTGCAAGTTTCCATCATTCCCAGATGCTACTGCCATTCCCAGTCCTGACACCTCCATTAACTACTTCCATGAAATTAAAAAATAATAACAAAGTGGCACTCATTTGTCATTTCCTAAACCAAGTTGGCTAGGAACTTCTCACCAGGATTTATCAAAACTGAGATCATAAAACCTCATAAATACCCAGTATATAATACTTCAGTAGGCAAAAAACAATACAATAGCATTACATGAGATAGTTGTAAAGGCCGTATCACAAAACTGAGACTTTGCACAAAACAACCAAAGTAAATTCTACAAGCAGCGTAATATCCAACAATATCCAACTGATTTTATAGGTTAAACAAAAAATTACCACATGACCCAGTAACTCTACTTCAAAGTATACATAAGTTCACACAAAAACTTTTACACAAATGTTCATGGCAGCATTATTCATAATAGTAAGAAAAGTAGAAACAATCCAATCATCTATCAATTGATGGATGGATAAATAAAATGTTATAGCCACAAAACGGAATTTTTTTGGCAATAAAAAGAAATGAAGTACTGATACATGCTACAACTTGGATAAACCTTGAAAACATTATGCTAAAAGAAAAGCCAGTCACAAAAGACCATGTTATAGGATTCTATTTATATGAAATCTCCAAAACAGGCATACAGAAAGTAGATTAGTGTTCGCATAGGGATGGGGGATTAGCAGGTGTGAATGCTAATGGGTCTGGGGTTTCTTTTTGGGGTGATAAAAATGTTCTAAAATTGTGGAACTAGACACACAACTCTGTGGATGTACTAAAAACTCACTGAATTGTATACTTTAAATGAGTAAACTGTATATATGTGAATTGTACCTTAATAAAGCTATTACTTAAAAAAAACAACTTTGTGCTGCAAAAGTTGAGAAGGGAAGTACAAATATTAGAAAAAACAAGAAACAGCAGCATTATTATAAAGTTTACCCCACAAATCAAGGAGCAAAGACTCTTAATTTACTCTTTAACAAAATATGTTACTGTTATGAAAACTGTATTTAATCAGATCTTGCTAATTTTCTAAGAAAAGACCTCATATTTAGGAACTATGCTTGTTCTCACATGGACATTTACACACACACACACACACACACACACACACACATTAAACTTAAATGATTCTCTCAAGAGCTCATATCACAGAGATTTTATAAGCCAGGAGAAACAGAAGTGTATATGAAACTAAATGTAAAACGATTCTCATAAACCCTCTCTCATTCTGAGTATATTATTTCTCAGATAAGTCAGCTAATTAATGTCAATAACTAAAAAGAGCCTCCACACAAATAATACTGTTCTTAAAAAGTGTGTACTTTGAATCACCCATTTGTAATCAGCAACTAGTTGTGATACCTTAATATACCAATTACAAAACATATTCTATGAAACAAAGAAAGACCTCTATTAACCTGTACTCACAAGAAACAGACTTTAACCAGACTTTATTACTTCTGACTGGTATTTTCCCTCTACATTAAAATATTTTTAAGTAAAGGTGATATCAGTAAGTTAAATATGAATCTTCAATAAAAATATAGGATTTAAGGAAACTAAAAGATGACAAAGTTTTTTAAACAGTTTCTCAAAAGTAGGAAGACCATATGTAAGAGGAAATTTCCATACAAAGTTTGTACATAAAGAAAAAGAGAGCAAAGATTATAACACAAGACTACCAAAGAAAAATATTTAAAAAGAGAAGACATGTAGAAAGATTCCAAGTCAACAAAATTTATATGGAAAGAACATGGTAAAATAAAAATTAGCTCTAATTTTCTAAAATTAGTTTTTATAGAAATTATTATAAAGAACTACCAAAGGATTATGTAAACATATCAGGATTATGTAAACTCTGAATAGGATTATATTTTGATATACTAAGAAAAACTACCCCATCTGAAGAAAGTAATATGGAAAAATAAAGATCCTACAACATCACCTAGTTATATTATTTTTCAGAAACTGTTTTCTCAAATGTAAAAATATTAAAGAAACATATATTTTATAACTAAACATAGCTAATTACTAAAAACAATACAAGCTCTATGACATTTACTAATTTCAAAATAGTGTATGATTATTAGGAAAAACTCCAACTAGTCATGCAAATATCTGGAACATAAACATATCTATTACCTTACTTTCTGTTGCAACTTGAAAGTGAAGAAGTGTGTAAGAAATTAACATCTTATGTTTTGTATGATAAAACGGTGACATATTCCAGTCATTTTTCCCAGTTTTAAAGATAAGAATAGTGTCTGTGTCTCTGAAAGTCATTCATCAATGTACATAATTGGTATACCAAAATATAAAGAGTTAGACAAATAAGAACTATTTCAAGTATTAATCTAACCATTACTTTCCCTACTGATGGTTAAAATCAAGTAGCACAAAAATTTCTATGACTTACATTGTTGTTGCGAGTTTCTACAGCAGGGAACTTTCTGACTATGAATTTCACAGCAGATTCCAGATTTTTGTCAATAAGGTAGGATGGTTTTGCCTTGGGATCTCCACATGCCTATAAAACAACAGTAATAAAAAAGTGAAATGCATCCTTGTTCTAAAACCAACTAATAGCAAATCTGTAATCAGAAATTAGAGATATTTATTGTTTTTGGTGAGCAGGTGATAAAATGAATAGGCAAAGTGCAGGGATTGTCACAGCTGAAATATGCAATGGGAGACAGTACAGAGATGTTCTTCTACTGAAAAAAATGCATGGAAAGTTTCAAAGCAGTTAGCGCAGAACAGCAGTGAAGAAAAAAGCTCAAACCTAAAGAAAAAAAGAAAAAGAAAAAAAAAAGTCTTGGTTTGAGGTAGAATTGTATTCATCTGAAGCTAATAAATTATTACAAAATTAAATATTCAGAAGAGTACTGGAAATGTTTCTTTCTAAGTGTTATAAAATAAAGCTTATGTTTAAATGTCTTTTCCAAAATGTTTTCCTCATTCATTTTAAACATTTTAATACAAGAGCCCTAGTTCAAAAGAACTGGAAGCTGCTAAAATTGTCTTTATAGTACTCAAGTGTGTAACCTGTTCCTCTGAACACCTGAGTCACAACAGTATTTTTCCATCATACCGGCAGCACGTCAAACAATGAATCTGTATCTGTTCTAGATCTCGTAAGCACAGAATAAATGGGAATGTTTACATTTTGACCACATCAGCCATATAGCATTCTCTGTAGTAAACTGTAAAGCATTATACAAATGTAAGCATTAGAAAGAACTTTTTATCTGAACTATTAGCAATACAGAATATAATCAGTACTATTCAGTGGTTCATTATGCGACATTTAACTAACTGCTTGCTAGTGAGATGTTATTTCTTAGGGAATTAAACTATCACATTGCTATTTAACTTCTCATTGCATTTTTTTTAATGTGTCCTTTGAAAAGTTTTATCTCTCTACTATGTGTGAGGAAATACCATATTGCAATTTAATGTTTTTTTTTCATCTTTTACTATGGCTATGTTGTGAATTGCAGAAAGAGAAGTTATGAAACATGAAACTGATCTGAAAGCGGGCAAGCGGGCAAAGGGAAGGTGAAAAGCTTTGCAAACCTTCCAAACTTGTCCTTGCTGGGGAAGCATTGTAATAAAAAGAGAGAAAATTACGTGTAAACAATGATTGTCAAACTATGACATACGTTTCAGTAGAGAACTTATGCACCGCAGACTATGAATAACAAAACAAGATTAGAACTATATGGTGCTACAATTTTAAAGGTATTCTAAGTAGCGAGTTTAGTATACAATAGATTTTATAGAGTTTACACTATTCATATATATTTAAATACTACTGTGTAAGTGTAAAACCATGTCAGTTTCTTGGTGCTCTTTCTAAATCAACTTAAAATAATACTAGAAGGAAAAATGAAGACTACATGCAACTATAAAAACAGGAGCAAAACCGTCAGTGAAATTTTACATACCTTAAAAAGAAACGGTAGCCAAGAATAAAAGTAAATTGTTATTGGATGACTTTTGCACTTCAGCCCAAATTGAAACTATTTTTCAAAAATCACCTAACTCCCTTCCAAGTCAAAGTATAAAAATCAATGCAAACATTCCTGTATTTTCCAAATGGAAATAGGAATGCATTAAGAATGCTCTTAATTCTCAAACATAAGTAGATAAAGCAAAATTAATTTAAGAAATTTAGAACTTCATAATCCTTCATGAGATTGACACAAGGCAACTATGCAAATTCTATTTCAACATCATAAATACTAAAATATATCTGACTTTTCTTCAGAGTAGACCATCATTTATTGCACATAAACTAATTTGCTAATTAGTCCACCTCCCCAAAAATATTATGCTATATAATAATAACTAAGAACCACATACTAAAATTCTGTCCAAACAGAAATACCTAGATTAGCATTTCCTTACACCAATGATACAATGAAAATCAAGTTTCCTAAATATTGCCTGAGGTGGTGCAGAATCCTAAAGTGATTCCAAATTACATTCAGTTTATTTTTTTATTACATTCAGTTTTTCAATGAAATGTTTTATCCTCCATATTCTAATATTTAAAAATTTAACTATCCATTCTAACAATATTAGTGACTATCTAATAACAAAAATACGATAGACTACCCATTTCCCATGAGCACAAATTCTACTGTGTAAGAATTTAATCAAGTATCTGAAAACTAATATATATGTATGCTCACATATATATGTGCTCAGGTGAGCATGTATATATAAGAGGAACTCTTCCTTCTCCCTCTAAAAACTAAAAGAATGGAATTTCATTTCAGTGGAAAAATAAATGGTTGTATAATCTTTCCTTGGAATTGATTTACCTTTTTCCACCCTGCTCAATGAGCCATAGCTAAACATACGATAGCAGGAGACAGAACACAGACTCTAAAACTTACTGGGTTTTAATCTTCACCACTTACAATCCATAGGACTTGAATATATTACAAAATATCTCCTAGTCTCAGTTTCTTCATGTTTAAATGAGGAAGTTAGTACTTACCTCATACATTCATTATGAGGATTATAAAAGAGATAAACTGTGTACAATATTTAGCTGAAGGACTGACACATAAGTGCTCTAAAATGCTCTAAAAATGCTCGTTGTTGTCAATAACAGCTACAATAATTGTAATTACTCAAGTAAAAGTCTCATGAATAGTAATTGCAAAACCGTATTTATCATAGTATATGGAACTAGAAATAATGACTACAATTCCCTCTTCTAATCACATATTTCCTTCCTTTGCCCTATGTCTAAATACCAAATTTGTTGTACTTTTACAGTTTAACCTAATAGTTAAGAACATGATTTCCAAGATATTCAAATCCTAGCTCTATCACTTCCTGGCTGCATAACCATAAGCAAGTGATTTTACTCCTCTATGCCTCAGTTTTTCCATCTGTTACATAGGTTGATAATAAATGCAATTTACCCTATAAAGTCTTTAACCCCATTACATGAATATCTGTGTGTGTATGTGTGTGTGCATGCATGCAATTTACAGATAGTTAGTATACCACGAGCACTCAGAAATGCCAATAAAAAATACAGGGTTCATAGGTACTATACAAAAGTACTAGACCTTATTTTATTTTTTCTGAAATCAACCTGCTTGATTTACTCAAATACCAACAGAGACACTGTGTAAGGAAAACTCAAGCAAAGAAAAAAAAAGTACAAGAAAAAAACAATGACCTGACTAAAAGCTAACATCTAAGTAAATAAATACATCTAACAAAAAGCTGTACTTAATAATTCAGTTAAAAAGGATTTCCTACTGGGGTGCCTAGATGGCTCAGTCAGTCAAGCATCTGACTTTGGCTCAGGTCATGATCTCACGGTTCATAAGTTTGAGCCCTGCATTGGGCTCTCTGCTGTCAGCACGGAGCCTGCTTCAGATCTTCTGTCTCCCTCCCTCATTCACTCTCTCTCTCTCTCTCAAAAATGAAGATTTTTTAAAAAAGGATTTCCTACTTGGGCGCCTGGATGGCTCAGTTGGTTAAGCGACGGACTTCTGCTGAAGTCATGATCTCGTGATTCCTAAGGTTCAAGTCCCACATCAGGCTCTGTGCTGACAGCATGAAGCCTGCTTGGGATTCTCTCTCTGCTCCTCCCTGCTTGCCTGCTCTTTCTCAAAATAAATAAACATAAAAAAAAAAAGGGGGGGGGGCGATTTCCTACTATACCAAAACAGTATAGCAAAATTCCAAGTAACCAGCTGTCTCAGTTTATAAAAATTAATCTTCTTCTTCCCCACCCTAACTCAGCACATTTCATTTTCAGGATATGGAGGACAAAGATATCATAAAATAACAACCTGTATTTCAAAAACACTGTCTGCAGTTGGTACCTATGAAACTCTACCTCATCCTACAACTACAATATTACACAAAATTAATCTTTCACTCTCAAAAGTATCATCCTTTGAAGTGGCACATTTAAGAAAATGACATATACTACTGTACTTAGTTATTAACACATTTTACAGTAATACATACCAAAAAGGCTTACCATAAAGACTGAATCAAAAGATTTAACAAATTACCAATTAAATTAAATAAAACTTTTGAATAGTTCTACCATGCCACACACACCAAAAAAGAAAAAGAAGGAAAAGATGAGTACAGGGCAAAATTGCATCTAAATAACTGAACTTATAGCCCTACTGAAAAAAAAAAATTTTTTTTTTTGCTTAATTGGCTAAAAGAGCTACTTCACTAGAGAAAAAGGACACTATATCTGAACCACAGAATTTAAAAAAAAAAAAACCCACTCCAAAATCTTGTTTATCTTGACTTACCATGCTTTCATAATGCATAAAATACTGTTATTTAAAATTCCAGAAGATCTAAAGCAAATTTAAATATTTATATACTTAAACTTCCAGTTCTCACAATTGAAAATTTATTTTCTATGAATATTCTACTTATCTTTAAATTCAACAAGGTTATGACTATATAAATTTTTTTAAATATTTATTTTTGATAGAGAGAGACAGAGCACAAGTGGGGGAGGGGTAGAGAGAGAAGGAGACACAGAATCCAAAGGGAGCTCCAGGCTCCGAGCTGTCAGCACAGAGCCCGATGCGGGGCTCGAACTCACAAATTGCAAGATGATGACCTGAGCTGAAGTCGGACGTTCAACCGACTGAGTCACCCAGGTGCCCCTTAGGTTTTTTGAATTTTTTTTTTATATTTTATTTAAGTTATTACTATATAATGTGACAGATAAAATTGCACTAGTGTTAAAGGGAATACTTAAATATAATAACTAAGAAATCTGTCTCTGAGTCAAAGAGCACAGCCCATATGACTTCCTGGCAAGTTGTTTAATCTCTGAACTTCGGTTCTATAATCCACAAATGAAGGGTACTAATATTATCTACTTAACAGGGTAGATTGTACAGATTTTTAAAAGACAAAATGCAAATAAAGTGCTTATTCCAGTGCCTGGTACATAAGCACTTAATAATTAAGTTCTAAATAATCATCTTCTATTTTTTAAAATAAAACTTCCCAAAACACATCAATATCTATAGTGAGTTCCCAATTATCAAAGTTAAGATTTTCTATGTAACCAATTCTAGGTCAGTATTTCAATCGACATCTCCAAGTTCATTTTTTTCACAGAATACAAATATAATATTTATCACCAAAAATAAAGAACAAAGATGTTTTAGAAAACCACATAATATTTTACTCATGCCAAAAAGTAAACATCCTTCACTGGAAACCTCAAGACCAAACTTTATGTGATTTTAAAGTAAACCTTAAAACAAATATTTCTGCCAATCTACCACCAAAACCCCTTCCAAGTCCCTTCCTTAGGCTGTCACAACATAAGATTACATAACACACACAGATTAATTTTATGTGATTAGTGCTACATGTTTTTTCAAGAACTTATCATGTTAAAAAAATCAAATATAGATAGAAATAGTCCTCTATTCATAAGAGATTATGTGACAATCAAGACAGGGGCGCCTGGGTGGCTCAGTCAGTTAAGCATATGACTGGCTCAGGTCGTGTTCTTGCAATTCATGAGTTCAAGCCCCACGTCGGGCTCTGGGCTAACAGCTCAAAGCCTGAAGCCTGCTTCAAATTCTGTCTCCCTCTCTCTCTCTGCCCCCTCCCCCACTCACACTCTGTCTTTCTCTCAAATATAAATAAACATTAAAAAAATTTTTTAAAAGAAAAAAGAAAACAACAACAAGGGTAGGGAATAAAGAGAACATTTACTGGGCACCTGTTGTGTGTAAAACATCTATGCTTTAGAAAGTGCTAACCCATCACTCAACGGAGAGGAAAGGAACTTCAGAAAAATTAAGGTTTTACAACTATTAGCTGTTGAGGACCCAAAGATTCCAAAGCACTAAAAATGCTTAATTAAAAAAAAATTTTTAAAAACACAAAAAGTAAAAAAACATGCTCCATTCTTTCACTACCTCGGCTGCTCAAAACTTTCATTGGAGTAATTACTATCAAAGGAAAAACCTGCTTAGTTAGATCAGTTTTATTTTTTAAGTCCTAGTCTATCTAAGTCAGCAGTAAAACACATTCCTTTGCCAAAAAACTATAGAACAAAC